CTTTGGGTTATTGTGTTTGCCTGTGATGCTCATTAAATGATTTGATCTCAGAGTTTTTCCTTCCATCTGTGTCTGGAGATAAAACCAAAACAAAATGTGCAGAAAGTGCCTAAACAGCCTGAGCTGTCTGTTTTCTTTCCTTAAAAAGGTTCTGCGTCCTGGCTCGCGATATGAGGTGTCCGTGAGTGGAGTGAGGAAAGGAAACGAGAGCGGATCTATTACGACTGAATTTACTACCGGTGAGGTCTGACAGCAAGCAGATGTGGTAATACCGCGTGTGATTTTGTGCCTGCAACCTTAAAGGCACTTTGTTTAATGCATGCCACATTGTTTATCTGCACTGGAAAAGGTTGTGAATATCTTTTCAAGACAATAGCTACTTTGCTAAAGGTTGTGCAGATGGGAGTCATTTATTTATTGAAAAACAAATCTGAATGATTTCTGAATACTTTTTGCAGCGACACAAACTCTATTTTTGTGTTAAATATCAATTCAGGCTTGTAAATTAGATCATATTGGCACAAAGGGACAGAAAAATAAATCTTAGCCATTTGTCACACACACTCACCATTCAAGGTTAATGGCAGTTTACTTTGATCTGTATTTATTTGTGTTGCTTTTATACTGCGGATTTTTGCTTGCTCACAATCCCTGAGAATCGGTCTCTGTGTTCCCAACGTTGTCAGCTTTATCGTTCTTCTCAGAGATCGATGCCCCCAAGAACTTACGGCTCGTGTCCAAGACCTCCACTACCCTCGAGCTTGAATGGGATAACAGTGAGGCTGAGGTAAAGAGACTGGGATGAGATTTAATCCATTTATCTCTGTTTGCTTTCAGCCACTTTGAGAGATTGATGAGTGTGTCATTCATGCCAGGACAACGAAGTCTAATCATTTTAATGCCATTTTGTGTTCTTTGTTTATTTCATGTATTTCTTTATAAAAACTATTGGCATTTTTATTAATGCTCATCCATAAAACAAACTGAAAATTAGATTTTGGGAAAATATTTTGATTGACAAATTCACTAATATTTCATTATATTATGGGCATCCACAAATTTGGTCAAATATACACACATTTATTATTGTTATTAGAGAAAAAAATGTCAATGTAGGCAGGGCATCTTTATATGTATACCATATTTCATGCACAGAGGCAAATCAGTGTGTTTTCCAGGAGCAAGACTTGGAAAATTAACGTGACAGCATAATTAAAATACACAAAAAACTTTAAAGTGGTAAATGGCTTGTACTTGTGTAGCACTTTATCAGAGTTCTACAACCCCCCAAGGTGCTTCACAACACAAACAGTCAACCACCCATTTACACGCTGTTGATGATGAGCTACAATGTAGCTACAGCTGCCCTGAGATGCACTGGCAGAGGCGAGGCCTGACGAACACCGGCGCCACCGGTCCTTCTGACCACCGACACCAGGCTAGGCAGGTTAAGTGTCTTGCCCAAGAGCACAACAGCAGAATTCTTTGGTCATAGCAGGGATTGAACCTGCAACCTTCACATCAAATGAAATCCAAAAATCGAATTCTGATTTAATTGAGCCAGATCATGCTATTTTAAATATCAGAGAGCAAAGGTTATCATAAAATAAATAAAATATTATTGACAGCACTATTGAGATGTCATTTATCTTGAATACGTTATTTTTGTTGGCCTGAATTTATACCCAGAACTAAAATGTTTCGTTTTGGCGAAGCTCCTCCACACCCGCTGTGACAAAACGTCCCTACAACAGCGTCTTAGGCGAATTTGCTGTTTTTTGGCCTTGGTTGTCCAGTGGTTTAAGTACCTGCCTTTCATCTTGATTTGCCATCTACTGATGCCGGTTCAACTCCCGGTGTCAGCAGTAATTTATTTAGCCAGCTGAAGCAAATTTCCTTGATTTACATTTTAGTTTTACTGATTATTTTCTGCAAAATAGTTTGTGTCTCTAAAGATCTTTGAATTTTTTTCATTTCCAAGCAGCATTTAAGTTGATGCTATGCTCACCTCACATGGACTCACACTGGCTAAATATTTAAAAGAACAGATTAGTCCATATATTTTTAACAGTTTACCAATAATACTGGCAAGTGTAGCTTAAAAAGTAGAAAACAATTTACTGCAAAACTACATTCGACTGGACCAGACCAGAGACCAGAACAGCTTCAGGGGGAGGAGAAATGCCTGGTGACACATGGAGGCAGGAAAAATCTGTACATCGACCAAATTGCAGCTGATACAGGAAAATGCATTTATGCAGCCAAAAATAGTTTGGGGGTATTTATCACGAGGAAATGACAATATACCAAGGTAAAAAGCTCCAAAAAGTGGATTTTTTCATGATATGGAACCTTTAGGAATCAGATAAAGGCAACATTAAAGACTGAGCAGTTATAGTGCAGAAGCTGCTCATAAGAAAACATCCATAGGCTGATGAATGCATGAAGGTTTTCAATTGTTAAATGGGACACATTTGAGGTCATGAGTGAGCTGATTCCATCTGTGTGCAGCACAGTAGCTCAAAGCAGCTGTTTGGGTCTGGAGACTAGGAGGCATAAAGGCAGATCAGGAGCCTCATTCATTAAACGTACCTAGGCACAGATCTGTGCGTAGGAACAATTCTACGCAGAACCTCATCTGCTCCTTGATCATACACGCCGCATTGCCAAGGTAACCAGACTGAATGACAGCTGCACTCGCAGGCATTTCCAAATGAAACTAACTCCAAACAGAACGACTCCTTAAATGTAAATGAGAACCCGTTACTCTACAATTGACCAAATCAATTTTTTTTTTAAATTTCTGACAAGAACTTCTCCACGTTTTTAAACTTTGTTACTTGTTTGGTTCTTTTGCGCTTCAGCAGTCAGTGTTTCGATCTCGTTGTCAATAAACTTTTTCTTATTTTTTCTGAAAAAAAAAAAACTAAAATAACAGAGAATCCTCTCGTGCTGAGGACGTAGCGTAACCAAATATGGTTAATTGAGGGTGTTTCTCAATGCAAATGATGGTCAACAGGCACGAGCACCTGAGTATGCACAAGTGGGATTTATCAACAGCTGATTGTGTGTGAGAGGCCACCGCATGTTTCATAAATCAGACTTTGAGCTGTTCGTACGAACATTCTAAACTCCACTCGTGGGATAGAATATAGGAATGTTTCTACGAACGTTTGATAAATAGGCCCCTGGTCTCTTGTTGTACACTCTCCTATATCACATAGGGTTGGTCATTTTATAATGCTGACAAACCTGGGATATGTTTTTTTTAAGTAAACAAAGATTGACACACACACTTTAAGTCGACCCCTCATGAAAACAATCAAGCAGAGAGTAGAGCGGATTATCATGGGAATTTTTCCAGTGAAAAAAACATTGAGAAAATAGATCAGCTCATATAGTTTAAGTTTGTTTCAGTATTTATTTTTAGTTGGATTAACGTGGATAACTGACCATCCAGAAATAAGTACGTTCTCACGGTGCAGCATTTGTTCTCGCTAACATCGCTACGTAGGCTTTTTCAGTTGCACTGAAAAATGAATGCATTCCCAATCTTCTTTCTTTATCAGTTCTATTGAGGGTTTACAATATTTTTTTATTACAAATTCACTAGCAACACTCACAGATGGTGTGCTGCAGCTTCATAAATGACAAATAGTTGTGAAACAAACATCCCACTGGAGGCAAATGCTCACCAAGTATTTATCTAATTAAATAAATGTTTCTCGGCTGCTTTTACCATAAATCTAACAGCAAAACAAAAGTAAAATCAAAGTAAAACAATAACTGTAGGAATCAAGAACAACTTACAGAATCTATATTTTTTATTTTTCCATCTAACAAAAGGCATTACCTTTTATTTTATTTGAGCATTGAATAAAAAAAGAAAAGTATGTGTACATTTCTTTCAAGACTGCCTCCAGTTTTACTATGTTTCCATAGGTGGAGGGCTACCAGGTGGTTTACAGCACTTTAGCAGGAGATCAGTACGATAAAGTCATCGTTCCACGCAATGAGGGAACCACAACTAAAATCACACTCACAGGTGAGGTCGAGAGCTGATGTTTTTCTTCTTCTCCTTTATGTGCAGTCACTTTGTCTTGAATTATTTATCATGAACATCTGTAGAGCTCTTATGCTCAGCGGGTTGTTTTTCCTTCAGTGTTATCGCAGCGCATCCATCTACAGTGTACTGAAGATGCTGGGAACTGTCAGTGTTTTACATGGCAGGATTATCTTCAGGGCTAACATTTTGTTGACGGGCTACTGATTGTATCTGTGAAACGCTTGTTGTCCTGCGGGCATATTGGAAGGCTGTCAGAAAGATGGGTCAGCTGGGATGTTTTTTTTTCTTTTGTCTGAAAGGCCATGGTGCTGCAAAGGGCACGGCCTGCCTGAGAATAGAAGCAAAAGGTCCTTGTGTTATTCCGTCAGGCTTCTCCAATCAATACAATCTCCTCTTTCTTTCTCTGTCGCTTGCACTTCCTCTCCCTAGATACCTGCTCTAATAATCTGTCATCCACCAGCTATTTTTTTTCATTTCTCATCTCTTCATCTTTATTTCCACAGCTCAAGAAACTGAAACATGTTCGACTGATTTGAATCTGTTCCATTATGCAGTTGGCAAAAGCCGATTTCTTAGAAAATCATGTAGATGTAGATGTACTCCCCATCAACAATGAACGTATAATATCCCCGGTATGGTAATTTGCATGTAATCAACATGTGTTGTGCATGAGGAGGAGAATGTGTGTAATGCACTACCTGAAAAATTGTTGGTTCTTTCTGACTTTGTGCTTCAGATTTGTTGCCGGGGACAGAGTATGGCATCGGCATCTCTGCTATGAAAGGTAGCAACCAGAGTACACCGGCAACAATGAACGCCAGGACAGGTGAGTGCTGCAAATATTTCTTCTATTCATATGGTTCAAGTAAACCTTAGAAACATGTGTTAGGTCATTACAGCATGCATCCATGCATCCACATGATTATGTCCCTGATCCAGAAGTCCTTTTGGAAAATAAAGCTAATGACATTTTGTAAAGAATTATTTATCATGTTTGTTTTATTTCACCACCTTGGGCCAGATTTTCTCATAACAACATTTGAGCCTGAAATCATTTAGCTAAGTGACCCACATTGATTTAAAGGTGTGGTTGACTGAAAAAGCATCTTTTTATCATAATTTCTGATTTTAATTAGTCACTGGGATTTTAAAGCCCTCACAAATCTATGTCACACTGTGAATTTGCATTCATGGCCTTGCCCATCTCGGCTCGTGTTCGCCCACAGGGAGGCTTTTTAAAATGTCTTTTCCAATAAGGGGAGAGAGCAAAGAGTGTCCTGGTGGTAGTGACTCTGTAACATGAGTGAACACATTCTGTTAGCCATTCAGAAGCGAGGTTTGTGCATTTCATTAAAAATAACGAGAAATCCAGCTGTTTTCAGCCCACCTCTGCACCAGCTAACTTCAGCATCTCAGAACAGGAGTATCATAGCTTTATTTTTTTAATGTTATGGATTTTATCAATATGTTTATCAATAACCCATTTCCTGTAGTCGAAGAGAAAAGGAGACAATGAACAACAAGTCAACCAGTTATAACTGTGGTATATGCACGAGGCAAAATGCTCCGAACATCTGGTCAGACTTTTTTTAAACAACAAGAAAAGACAGAAAAGGGAGTGAGAGAGAGAGAGAGAGAGAGAGAGAGAGAGAGAGAGAGAGAGATATTGAGTGTGTGTATGTGTGTGTGTGTGGGGGGGGGGGGGGGAGAACAGTGTGTGGCTGTGTCTGAATGTGAGAATGCTTCAGGACATTTGTTAACAGGATTAATGCAATGAAATATAAAATTTCCATAACATAATCCCTCCTGTTTATCCGAATAGGATAACCAAACAAAAAAAAAAAAACAAAAAAACAAAGAACAACTAGAACTGCAAGCAGTTATCAACGGGTTCCAAGCCACTAGCGCCAGTCGCCCACCCGCCCCCGCCCTCAAGTTCCCCACTCCTCACGCAGCCCCGCCCCAAAGACACGTTCTCCCGCCTGCGTCCCGTCCTATTTTTAGGGTGCAACGAGACTGTTTTTCAGCCCTCTTTCTGAGGTGGTCTGCTTCAGGCTGACCTGGGCCAACACTCCCCCTGCTGACAGCATATTCACACCTTCCACTAGAGCAAGCCTCTGATTGGTGGGTAGGATCAACTCACATGGGCTTATGGCATGCTCATTTCATTCTCATTCATTATCATGCTGATTACCTAGAACCTAAAAATGTCTCTGACTGCATTCCTTGCATACCTAAGCAAGGATGTGTGGAATCAACCGGGCCAAGCTGGGGCCATCTGGAGCTATCCGGGCAGGGTCGACCAGGTACAGATGGGAATGGCTCTAAAAGGTTGAAGGATCGATCCCAACTCTGACCAGAACATGACATAAGCTCCAGCCTACCCAGTTAATACAACCTGAAAATCTTAGCCTCTTACATGCAAACAATGATTTTTAGGAAATTTTTCAAATTTTAAATTTTAAATGATCATAAACCACGCCCACTTTGATCAATCAATCAATTGATATTGTAGTCTTACAACTCTATAATAATGACAACCACTAAGTTTCGTGCAGATCCATTTAGCCAGTTCAGCAGTATAATGTCTTCCTATTTATAGCGCCCCCTATTGTTGAATCAAGCTGAAAATCAAGATATCCACTTGAATTGACCTTAGGTATGGTGGTTATGAATAGCTTTGAAAAATGTCAAAATCTTTTGAAGTTATGCTAAAAAAACAGTTTCATTCCCCAAAAAATATTTTAAAAAATCATATAAAAACAAATAAGCAAATTATCCAAAATCCCTTCACATCGTTTGGTCAGCCGCTCCTCCTCTCTTGTCAGGGAAAGTAGTGATGTGATTGTGATGGACGGCCGGGAGGAGTTAACGAAAGTACGTTTGACTTACGATTGCAAATTTCTACTAATTAGCATAAGTTAAAATTATTTTTTAAAATACTCATCTAAATTTGACTGAATCAAAGAACATACTGGATGAGACCCTTTGTTTTTTTTACGAATGTAATGGGGAGAAACATGCCATAAACATTTTTGGGGTACAACAGCGCCATCTATTGGACAAAATTCTAAATTTTTTCTGTGATTGTAGATGTCACTATGACTGATTTGATTTGTAACTTTCTGTACAGAATATATATTTTTCATGAGTAAATGGGCGAAAACTTTTAAAGCCTATTTATAGCCTATAAGCCACGCCCACTTTTTAATCATTTTCGAAATATAGCGTAAGGGTCCAATGATAAACATATCTGCCAAGTTTTGTGGAAATCCATCAAGCCGTTTTGCTGAAACAAACTTTTTGAATCTTTAGCGCCCCCTATCGGTGAATCCAAACAAAATTACGTAGGTAGGGTTTACCGCTCATACTTTGTAAGGGTCTAGAATCTCATCATTTTATCTTGAAAATTGTTGAAGATATAATCAATTAGGACATTGCTAGCTAGCGCACTGAATTTGACATGGTGTCATTAACCCAATTTTCAATAATTCCGCGTTTTTCTTCATCACAACAACTTCTCTTCCTCCATAGATCATATGTTCAAAGGTTGAAGTTGATTTGACGAAAAATGACGAATAGGTGATTAAAACTAAGTTTTGCGTTTTTTGAGATCTAGCCAAAAATCTAGGCGGAAATGGGCGTGGCCAATACAAAAAAGATGCAGAATCTTCCAAGGATCATGTCCATATAAAGTTTTTTGACTGTAGGGCCTATGGTTTGGGAGCTAGTAGCTCAAACGTGTTCACCTCCGCAATATCGCCACCTAGGTGACTCGGGGTCCAAATTTTCGAACCTGAGTAGCGGTCAGGATTTTCTATCAGACTGCCATATCAGATTTTTCCTGGCAATTTCAGGCTCTTGCCCCCATACAGTATTAGCGGAGAAGAAGAATAATGAAAAATCCGTAGAAAAACAATAGGGTTCCAATGCCCTAGGGTTCCAATGCCCTTTGGGCTTGGAACCCTAAATAAGTAAAATGCAATGTTAGATAAATAGTATATTTGGTTAAGTAAATTGCTTTAAGAGCTATTTACATTTTTGACACTACTTGAGACCAATAAGCTGTAATACTCTGTTTAAATATAGAAGATCACCTTGCCTGGTCTTTATTTGTTTTAGTCAGGAGATTCTAGGATTCTTTTATTCATTAAGGGATTGTACACACTTCCTGTTTATTCAAGAAACAGTCAGGTTTATAAAAATTTAAGAATTTATTTTACAAGCAATTAAGACTTGACAAAATGTTTAAACTATTATTTACTGTGAGTGGATGCGACCTAAAAGTATGGTGTCTGGAACTTATGTGCGAATATAATATATTCAGAATCTCCGTATCTCAGAAATCTGAGTTCTGGATGGAAAGAATTCGGTTTGCAAACAAGCTAGGAAGTTGTTATCATCAAAACCCCATACAGACGCTATCTCGCTGTGTTCTACCTCACCCGTTCTGGAGACCCCCGTTTGGATCCGAGATGTCAAGGAGCCGATGATCCCACTGCACGTGGTTTGTAGAGAAACCTCAAATAAATAAACCGGGAGGCAGCAGTGCAGGGGTTCTGCTGTCCTCCCGGTTTTTGTTTGTTTTCAACCTCTTTCGTTTAGATTTGTTTGGATTTGTTTGAGTTTTAAACTGTGGTAGTTTTTTAACTCTAAGTGATAAGTTTTGGTTGATCCAGTGGGATCTTTTTGGCTGTTTGGTTTTAAGGTAAACTTTGCTTGTGCAATTTTACTGACCTCGGTTTTTAAACACCTTCGTGTGGTAAAGCTTTTTGAAATAAGTTTTACTAGGTGTTTTAGTCAGTGTATTGTTTTGGGAACAGTTATCAACTTTGGGATTTTAAAACACCTTCTGCTCGGTTAAGCTTTTAATATAAGTTTTAACCAGGTGTTTTATAGTTGATAATTTGCTGTGTAATGTTAACCTTTTAGAGAGATCTGTTTGCTTGTGTTTTTAATACCTTTTTGTTACAAATAAACCCATTTTAAACTCCTCCGCCAGTTCTCATGTTACCCCCATCCTTCACATTTTTACAACACCTGTCGGGGACGTAACACTGGCCATTTTGTGACGTTAAAAAAATGATAAGTAAAACAATAAGAAATTCTACCCACTTCCATAACTTGTCACCATTACCTATGCATCATGACTCAAGGGACAGGGAAGGGGGTGAAACCAGGAAAGGTGATCACCTCGATAGTTATAAGTGCCAATAGGGTACAAATCAAGCAACTCAAGACAAAAATGCTAAGCATCTAACAAGAAAAATAATAATACTCTACGATGAGGTAGGAAAGGCTCAGAATCTGCACGATGAAGTGAGAACACAGCATGAGGTGCTGCATTCGATTGTCTATCACGGATCGTAATCTCAATCCTGATAACTCCGTCCAAAGAATCATTCCTTACAAAGTGTATTACAAAAATCAGTAAAATAATAAAGAGCAAAGAAATTAATAAAACATGATGACATTGTAATGAATTAGATTACATGTTATTTAATGAGCCATAAGGCGTGGGATTCCATAGGAAATATGAAATCCACCTTACAGATCTGTGAGTTATTTAAACCAGAAGATTGGATCTTTTTATTGCAGGGATTAGATAACCACTTCATATTCACTCAGAGACAACAGAAGAGAGAGAGTCAAGTTTAAAAGTTAAGAATTTTATTACTGACAAATTAAACTAGACTGACTTTAAGACTAAATGTATGGCGTAACTTAAGTGGATGAGACGGTGGATGGATGACGTGTGATGTTAATCAGAACCAGCAAATCCAAAGAAACGATTAATTCTGACGGGAACTGAAGGTGTTGTCTTTGCATCAAGCTTTGGTTAGGAGGTCCATAAACACATGAGACACCATTTGCCGGTCTACATACCCTGAGCGGAAGTTCCCGTTTAGATCAGGATGTGTAAAGGTCGAGCTTGACCTTATGGAGCCGGAGCATGTAGAAGAAGCCACGGCAACCAACCACCCGTCCTGGGATATGTCCGGGTCACGGCAATTTGTTGACGTCTGGTGAGACCCAAGCCTGGGTCTGGATGGTTCAGCTGTTATTCTGAAAGGAACTGTTGCTGCAGTTGGTATAGCGATGCATTTTTCAGCTTGTCGTTGGTTCTTTCGGTTAAAGAGTTTTAGATCAGGATTGGCCACTCCGTCACTTTTTCTGGAATGCTTTGAACTGGTGTTAGAGATGACGTGGCATAGTTTTATACTTCGGATGTTATGGTTTATTGTCGAATGAAAAATTACCAAACACCATCAAAACCACACCTCCGTCAGATCTGTAAGATTCTGATTGGATCAGTGAAAGTAATGTGTTATGTCTTTTCAATGCTATGTGAAATGAGTCCTGTTGGAACACTTAAAGTCACAGCACCTTTATATTCAGTAGGATTATAATAAGGTAATTCATATTTTGATTTCACAGATCGGTCACATCTTATTTATTGACTAACACTTTGATGGATTAGCTTTATTAAAATAGAGTTCTTTGATTAATTAAAATAAAAGAGTTCATTCTTCATTTTTTTGTTGAGGTGAAAATAAGCAGGTTAGAAGGAATGCATGAGACCTTGAGACCCTATCTCATGCAGACTAGTCTTGAGCAAAGATGGGAAAAAAACAGTCCTTCCGTTCCGTTACAACATCAACAGCATTTTACAGAAATACAAGTAATCTGTTAAATCAACACAATTATAAACTTAAGGAGAGCTATATCATACATATTGAAGTGAATTCACTGTGAAGCACAATTCTACAATTTATAGCAGTTCCTGTAAAGAGATTGGGAAGGGTTAGCGAAGCCATATAATACACAGAAAACATCAGTACAGTGTATTGAAACATCAGGTGAATTTAGTTTAAAGCCTCAAGTTGCTAATCAATAGGCATTGATTTACAGTAGAGAACATTGCAAATGTATTGAATAAATGAGTAAACCACACCTTTATGTTGTTTTGGCTGAAAGAAGAAAAAAAAGTATTTTTTTGCTCATCTCTGCATTTGCATTTATTTGTGTGGCTAAGTGATTTTTCTATCAGTGTCAAAAAATAGGTTTTAATTAGTTTCCGATTTTTAAATGCAGTGTATCACTTTTTCACAACAGATTTAAAGGTTATCTCACAAAATGAGCTGCTGATGCAATAAATCACTTTTAGTAGCTTATCTTTTATTTGACCTACTTTTTATCTTGCTCCTCCTCCTATAAAGATCAGTGAAGACTGACATTTTAGGCAAACGATGCTTAGCAGAAGATTAACTCTAAAACTTTGAAGATCAGAAATAGACTCTGAAGTCTTTTTTTTTTCAGTTATGGGTTTATTTTTATGATAGAGAAGCACCAAGCTGTGATTTTGTAAAGAACTTCAGATTTTGTTTGTAAATCAGATTCTTAATTTTTAGGATAGTCTTTTAGTTGAAAGAACAAGACTTGACACGTTAGGTGCAGTGATCTAAACTGGGGTCAGAATCAGAAGTGAAAGCCTGTTTTTACTTCTGTTCCTATAGGTCTAGATGTTCCCATGGACCTAACTGTGACAGCTTCCACTGACAACACCATCACTCTGGTGTGGGGTGTGGTCCGGGGTCCTATCGATCACTACAAGGTCACCTACACATCTTCCTCTGGTGTCACTGAGGTAAAACATACAACAAACTGTCGCCAGTCTGTGGTGAAAGTCTGCAGTTAAATTTAAACTTCATATTATGGTCTGTTGCTTTGTTAATCTGAAAGAAAAAGGTAAAATATCTGAAGAAGGGTAAAAAAAACACTCCTTTCCTCATACATTGCTTTGAAAAGTTTTAAATAATCCTGAAATTTCTCTAAATCATGCCTTTGGACTGTCCCAGTGCTCCTAGGAGCTAAGTTGTATGAGGCTTTTTGCCTCTGGTAGGGTCACCCATGGCAAAGACGCCTATTTAGGCCGGATCTTCATGATCGATGTTGTCATTTCATCTGATCTGTGGCTGCATGTCTTTGACACTCAGGTATCTTTGACATCGTGAACTTTGGGTGGTGACTGAAAAAATAAGATTGTGGATGCAAGCGGAATGAAATGGGTTTTCTCTGCAGGGTGTCTGGGCTCTCCCTTAAAGCCGGGCGTACACTGTGCGACTTTTTCACTTTTTTGAGCCGATTTTCCAGTCGTGCGAGAAGCCACGACATCGGGGCGAGTTTTGCGCCGAGCGGTCGTGTAGTGTACAGGGGGTTACGAGAGGCGATTAACACCACGTGACCAGCTGCCGATCAGCAGTCGTGAGGTCGCAGGGACTTCTGGTGTGTTTAATATTTCGCTCGTCCCTCGTGAGGGTATCGCAGTGTTGAAGCGGCGCTGCGAGCAGCTGCGAGCAGCTACGATCCAAAAAGCATCAGAACCGCTCACGGCGCATGCGCGCGCAATCCTGCATCAACGCCGGCCGGTCGCTCGCTATTTCCCTAATAACACACGCTGTTCGTTTTTGTTTCTACACGTTTTTTTTACTCAAAGATTGTCAAGAAAGCGTGTTTGTCGTGTTCATGTCAAATTAAACTGATCACAAAACACAGATTCACTTTCTTTATTTCGTTTTCCTCATCCAACCCCCATAAATCCCTGTGTGTCCCCCTGCAGCACTCCCGAAGGACAACAGGCAAGACAAAAAAGTCTGACGTGTTGAGTAAAAACTGCTATTTTTAGCACAGTTTTAGGGCCGACGTGTTGCTACCAGACGTACAGTGTGAGCAGTCAGATCGCATGCGAGAACTGGGTCGTGCAGTGTGAGCACACGACTCGTGAGATCTGCTCTGCGAGGAAGTCGTACAGTTTGAGCTGAAGCTGAACGCTGCGAGTGAAAAAGTCGCACAGTGTACGCCCGGCTTAAGAGATAGGCTGAGAAGCTTGGTCATCTGCGAGGGGCTTAGAGTAGACCCACTGCTCCTCCACATCAAGAGGAGCCTTTTGAGGTAGCTTTGGGCAACTTGTTATGCCTCCTGGACGCCTCCCTGGTGAAGTTTTTCAGGCTTGTTCAACCAGGAGAAGACCTAAAGAAAGACCCAGGACATGCTGGAAGGACTATGTCTCTAACCCAAACCTTTCCAGGGAATGCCTTAGGATTTCCCTGGAGGAGCTGGCCCAAGTGGCTGAGGAGAGGGATGTCTTTCTGTGTGTTATTTTCCTGCCCACCAGCATACTAGCTTCTGCTAGAGGCTGCAACCTGGATGGCTCGTCAGCCTGAAGTGGCTTCTTTTTTGACCAGAATGAACCTGAATAAGATTTTATTGAAACAATGTGAAATAGTTTTCTTGACAATTATCTGAAATAAGTGAAGAGAAACGTAGCTGGAAATGGACTCATAATAGAAGGTTGGGCTGCCTTTGTGACTCTTGTTTTTTTCTTTAAAACAAATTAAACATTTCACTCCAAGTTCACACACCAACTTACATTTTTCAGCAGATTTATGCCAAATCTTCAGTGATGCAGTGATTTAAAGGAAAAATATCATTCTATATATCAATAGGAAATGACTAGATTATTGCAGGTTGCCAAATATGGCAAACAGTCCGCTCAGCCATTGAGGCTGGCACTATGGAAAATGGCAGACTCGGCAAGTCAAGCAGCTGCTTGAGATCTGGATGGTTTGGAGGAATGGCCCCTCCTCCATGGGTGACAGTGTGTATTTTTCCTGGCGATAGGGAGCAGTTGATACCTCAATTGTTGCAAGCAAGCTGTATTTTTGTGCTGGAGTAAAACCTTACCAAAGGGTGCCCATTAGGGTGAAAAAGCCCTGGGGAGTGCAAATTTAAGCAATATGACAATTATATCAGACTCCCTTTCATCACTGGCAAAGAGTAAAAAGGTAAATGTGTAAAACAACAAAGTTTATGAATGGTGAAAATTTAGTGACCGTTTGTTACAAATCAGTAAATGCATTTTGTCGTCGCAGGCTCCTGTAGAAGGAAACATGGCATCTAATATGGCATCACCCAGAGACTAAGACCTGCTCCCATGTATTTTACACCAGATTTTTATGATCATATGTTAAGAAGCCACCAATATTTTTCAACAACTGGGCATCATTTAATTAATTGTCAACAGCATTTTGATGGATATTTCCAGAGATTAAGGATAAAAACTACGCATTGTCCATTTAAATATTGTAAAATAAACGTGTTAGTAGAAAATAGCAATTATCCTGTACAATTCATCACTGGACAGGGTGCTGGTTGGTCACTTCACAAATCGGCAGCAGACCTGGCATTCCAATGGCTGGAAACCATGTTCTATTGTTGTAACTACAACCTCCATACACTAGATGTCGCTATGGTGTTCGTGTTTCATGATCAACCTTTAATGGACAACTCACTTTACTACTTTTCTACAAAAATGGAGAAAACTGCAATAGGTATGCATAATTCTGAACACGGACGTTTTATTTTCTTGTATTGAAATATATAGTTTTGGTTTTTCAAATATTTCAAAGTAAAATGTTGAAAAGTCATATTGGGACATGAAAATACCAGCTGTGTAAAACATATGTAAAGGAAGTGGGTATAAAATCTGATCTCTGGAGTCAGTGTGATTATTGTTTGACCACTGCATTATTTTCCACATTACTACTCTGCCTTTGATATATTTACATACCATATATATTCCATCGATCATAATGGGCAATGTGAGATCACTGGCCAACAAGATGGAGGAACTCCAAGCCCTTTCAAGGACTCAGCCAGAGTTTCGGCAGTTTCGGAACCACTGGAGGAGATCATGCAAAGAAGGATTGTCCAGAGAATCAAGAAAATGATGGACAACCCTGAGCATTCTCTTCACAAGCCTGTCCCACAACAGAAGAGTGTCTTCAGTCAGAGGCTTCTTCAGTTTCGCTGCAACACTGACCGCTACTGGAGATCCTTCCTGCCAACAGCCATTGTAATATACAATAACTCTTTGATTACTTGATTATTATTATTATTCTGAGCTACTACAGCAATCAATTTCCATCTGGGATTAATAAAGTATTTTTGAATTGAATTGAATTATGTTTTCTGCATGTGAACTTTTTAAAAAAGGACAAATGAGCAAAACTCACCTTTTGTGTCCTCTTGTGTTGACCTGTGAGTCTCTACTAGCTCTATAAACATTTTGGGTAATTATGTGCCTCAAAGAAGCCATTTCAACAAGTCCCCAGTTGTGATGTCACAAATGGGGAAAGTAAAATAGAATCACATCTTACCTGTAAAGCCTAATTTAGGCTTCTTCATTAGCTCCGTGAGGAAGAGACTCACGCGCATCGATGGAGATGTTTTGCCTCCAAACTTTTCCGACACCTGGGGAGTGTTGCCAAGCAATTCCCCGCCAGGACAAGAGAAGGCATAGCACTTTCTGGGGTATCCAGTCACGCATCTGGTCCAAGATAGTGCATTTACTATTGTGTTTATATTATGTGTTCTTTTAGTGGATGTGGCCAGATCTAGCTTGTTTTCTTATAGTGACAGAGCCCTGAAACGGCTCATTCTGGAAGGTACAGAAAATGCCAACAATAAAATAGCTGAAATTGCTTTATGTGAAAGAGATTTAGTTAAACGAACTTCATAAACATGTTTGGTATGGACCATAAAACTAACTTAACATATACACAAAAGTCCTAATATGTCCACCTGTAAGGCAGTGATACCTCCTTGTGAAGTAATGCTGCAGTGCAAAACACCTGCTAATTTGGTCTTTTTGCCCCATTCTGTCTATTTCAGATGACAGTGCCCAAAGACTTAACAACTACCACTCTGACAGACCTTGAGCCTGGAGCCGAGTACACCATCACTGTAGCAGCAAGAAGAGGCAGGCAGCAGAGCTCGTCAGCAACCATAGACGCGTTCACAGGTAGAGATAAAAAGTGTTATTTTTGTCTTTGTGCATCTTAAACGAACAGCTGAAACATATCTGTTCAACTAAGCTAAAAAGAGTTAAGTAGGAGTGGGATGTCAAACGTTCCTTGATGAAAAATAACAGATTACTTTGCCTTTTCACTGCAGCAGCACGGCAACCATTCCGAACTACATCCCTTTAAGTGACTCAATCATCAAGAAGCGCCTAAATGAATAAAATCCAGGGTACAGATAAAGATTTGAAAAAAAAAAACAACCAATTACAGCAGGAAGCTTAAGACAATTATTAAGACAGTGTTGCATCGTCAAATGAATGGTGAAGATAATTAACTTAAGCGTGGCAGCAGCTAAGGTGAGTCCTGAGCAAAGGAAATGAAGGACCCTAAAAGCATTTGATGAAGCAATTAGCAGCAGTTAAATATTCAATTCAGCTAATGAGGTCGTTACAAGTGTTGTCTTTTCTCACTTCTGCTTTGCATCTAAATCCATTTGTGTTCTTCTGGAAACTCTTCGACATCTCATTCTCCACTCAGTGCATCTTGTTTTTCAGCCTGTTATTCCTTTCTATTTCAGCCACAGTTCAGTTCTTGTCTATCCATCCAACAACACGTCAGGCCAGCTGTCAATCCTCTTAGCTTTGTGAGCCCCTTGTTGTGTTTGTCTACGGTTTGATTTTCCAGTTACACAAAGGGAGGTGGGAACAAATGATGGACATGTGCTTACCTGCTGTCAGTATTGTGATTTTGCTGCTGTCATTATCATCTTTCTTTTTCTTCCTTGCTGCAATCATCATCATCATCATCATCATCATCATCATCATCATCATCATCATCATTTTTCTCTCTTTTTTAAACATGGCTCTTTCCAACCTAAACCATCAGCAGACAGAGATAAGATGAAACGGCAGACAAAAGAGTGTTTGGAAAAATATTCAATCCAGTGCAAATCTTTTCATCTGCTGTTTGCTGTATTGACTGCGTTTGTCTGCTCTCACCTAAGTGTGATAAAATATTACTCACAGATTTTCAGATGAGCAACTCTGACTTTCATTTACTTTGACTGGCGAGAACTCCCGTTCTGGGCAAAAATTGAATTTACGTTATTTTTTTATGACATTACCAAGAGATTAGGTGGATTCTTCACCAGTTGTTCATTCACCATCTGCGTTTTTTTATTCTGTTGGATCCTCTATCGATTTCTTTCATTTGATCAATTTGCTGATTCTTGTACCGCACGTGTGATGCACGATGAAAACGAAAGTATTAGTGGAAAATCTCTTCCATAAAAGCTTAATCGACATTTATCTATGCCCGTTTTAAAAATAGAAATGAAGAAAAAAATCTTTATTTCTTCCTCACAGGCCGAGTGTCTTCCAGCATCTGTGTGTCCGTGCATTCAAAATGTGCATCACCACACACAGTTCTTCTGTGTGGTCACTGCTGTTCTGTCTCTTTCTAAATTATTAATTCTACAAATGGCTTTCTGTCATGTTGATCAAAGAGCTTCATCATAACCACCAGCATCACATTACAGAGCCTCCTTCCTCCTACAATATTTTATGCATAATTGAAGTAAAGCCACTGTTTTCTTTAAACGGAGGAGTGGGATTGTTTTTGTCTGTCTTGTGCTACACAGACACTAAATCTTAAAAGCAGCGTGATACAAACCGGTCTCTGTGTGATGCTATTTTTGCTGACTGTAGTAAAAGGTAGCAACAGCCTTTGCAGGTCAGTGTAAACAATGCTTCCTTTGTGCAATGACTGATTACAAAAAAACCTTCACAGCATGTCTTTTACCAGAACAAATCAGTGAAGGAGAAGCCGTGGTGCCATGTTTTTCCAGCGATACATTTTCTCTCCTGGCTAATCAAATCAAACTCTTCCTATATTAGTTGCTGTGTCAGCTTTCCCCCATTTCATTTCCATGACATCCCCTTCCGTCCTGATCATGCAAAATGACACAGCATCTGCTCCTGAACAGTCCATCGCATTCGTCATTCTAATGGTGAATAATCTAATTAGTTTCTCCTTTTCATGGCCAATTAAATCATTGCTGCTTCTCGATAACGGTTAACTCTGACTCTCACTTAGCCCATAAAGATGGCACCTAAGGTGGATTTTCTCAGCTCTACAATAAACACTCTATTATCTATCGTGGATTGCTTTCATCAATCGCAAAACAACTTGTCTTTCATCTGCATTCTTGGCAGCTTTGTGCTTATTGCAACTACTCATTCACCACACCAGGACTTGCACCTGTACTTGAAAGCTGTCTGGTGATCTCTAAACCCTCGTTTCCTCCAGGAATCAGACCTGTGAGCCACCTCTATGTGTCAGAGGTGACTTCAGACTCAGTGTTAGTGGCGTGGACCTCCCCAGCACCACCCGCTGACCTCTTCATTCTGAGCTACAGCTCTGCCGACGGGACTGACACGTCTAAGGTGACGCTGGATGGCTCCAAGATGAGTTCACTGGTCCAGGGCCTGCTGCCGTCCACTCACTACACTGTCAGTCTAATCACAATACAGGGGGATGTTACCTCTGAGCCCATTACAACATCACTCACTACAGGTGAGCTGCTTGAAATCACAAACAAAAAAAGCATGCTTTAAAAACGTAGCCTTGTTGAGCGGTGAGTAAACACACTGTGTAAGGAAATCGATGCAGTGTGTTAATGTGCACCATGGGAGGCTGTGAACAGTGACGGAAACCATGTTCATGGGGGAATAATCAGAACGGTGTTGTTCTTGATAACTTGTTAAGTGAAATCTCAAGTCGATAAAACGTGGAGGACAAATTACCGCCAAAAGGTCATGGAGGTACCTTTAAAAGTCTTCCTGAAAGAACAAGGTGGGGTTAACAGGGGAGCCAGTTTGGAGCTCATTTCTACATTCCCCACAATGAGCAGGATGTAGTTATGTGTGAATTTCCCTACTGAGTCATTCTGCTCTGTTACTCTTCTTGGTGTTTGGATCTGATGAGAATCATAGGTGAAAAAGGCGGGAACTAAAGAAATAGGAATCTATGGTTGAGTGAGACGAAGGGAAGCAGAAAAAGAAGAAAGTTTATGAGAGACAAAAACATCATTTTTTTTTACTAAGCAAAAAATGTTTATGATAATTTTCCCTGTTTCACATAAAATTATGTTGTAAGGGGATGTCTCAGAGAAAAAAAAAACCCTTAAAAAATACCATGTCTGTTACTCACATGGCTGAAATTTGCCGTAATCCACGTTTGTCAGTAGTGAAGCCTGGCTTATGATCCTACCAGGCCAGACTACTGAACCGAGGCTGGTAAGGAGTTGGTTTGGTGCGTGAGTAAATGACAAAAACATAGGATAACTGACGTCGGCGGCAGACACGCAGTTACTTTGAGAGGCACAGTAGGAGGTGACAAAAGGAAACAAACCGGTACTGTGACTTCAAAAAAGAAAAGTAGGACTTATACACCGCAGGAACATTCATTGTTCAGCTGGGATCTGGAACTCGTGACAAAGCTGAGTAGACACAATGACTGAGCAATGGAGGAAGTAGATGATTTCCATATATAGACGTTGGTGGTGACATATGGTGTGAATTTCTAGTGAGTGGAACTCTGGGAAATAGAGTCCTATAGGGTCTGGGCCTGTGTCCCGGCAGAAACTGGTGGAAGGAAACTGTGACAGATGATGTGCTTGCTGTGAATTTAAATACACTTGTACAAAACACACACACACACACACACACACACACACACACTCATACATTCTTCTGTTTTTGTCACACGTTATCTCCTTCCAAAGTCCTAGGCTTATATTTATTTCTGCTGTAAATTATTGATCTGTTTTCTCTTTGAATATAGATGTTTAAATGCTATTTCCCTGCTGCTTATTTTTTTCATCTATTTATTCTTAACCAGCATATTCCTAAGTAGCCCCCGAGTGCAGTATTTACATTCTGGAAGAAGCATTAATGAGAAAAGGGTCAGGGCTGTAACCCTGTGTGATAATCGCTGGGTAGGATAACACTCAACCTCTGGAAAATCTACATAAGAGAGAGCTTTAACGCTACTAAAGCAAATAAAAAAAAAATAAACTAACCACATTTAACAATAAAATTGTGAACTTGTGCCAGAAATCTAGATCATTTCACCACTACTGAAAGACATCTCTGCTGTGTAAGGTTGTGTAGTTTATCTCACTTGATTAACCCAAGAGGCACATTATTAAGAATGAAACAAGAAGTGGATTTTGAGTGAGTGTTGTCTCTCTTGAACCTCTCACTTTACTCTGAAATAAATTTGGTTTACTGCTTTGATCTCACTTGTTTGAATTGTGAGTGTGGATGATAGCATGCATTTTTGATTTTCTTTGTTCAGTTTGCTTTTAGCGTCACATTTGATACATTTGTCACACTTGGAATGTGCTTCCCTTTACGTTTTAGCCACAGTTGTTACAGGCGATTTGGCTTAGCGGGCTATGACAGCAGTTTTGCCTCAATAGAAAGTTCAAACAGTGCTTTGATGTGAGCTTACACTCACAAATGTTACTGTGATCAGCTCGAGGGACATGGTGAGTAGTGTTAAATCTTTGAAGGAACAGTTAATTTGTTCCCTTTCTGACCTTTTAAATCTCTCATGAACAAATGTATTTATTTACTTTTGTTGTTGTCGCGTGTGACTACTGTTGCATTTCCTGGATTTTAACTGGTGGACAAGCATCACTAAAATATTTAAGTTAAAAGATGTTTTTTGTATTGTAGGCATGTAAATATAAATTTCAGAGATGCACTGAAAATGTAGGTCAATATTGGTATCTGGTATTAGTATTGCTGTTATGTCTGATAACCGATATTTACCGATATTATATTAGTATAAGTAGGGATGTAAGAAAACAACAATAAACTAAAATGAAAAATGTGTTCAGATATTGAATCAATACAGAAAAGCAATAACTTTTTTTTTATTGAGGAAATACATGCAAACATTTACTTTATTTCTTTTGTGTGGTGTTATTCAACGTCCGACTACTAGGTGGCAGCAGTTTTTACCACCTTCATTCTGATGGAAAAATAAGATCTTGTGATAACACTGGATGTGTTTTATAAGCATCTGACCTGAGTCTTTCAAGAAGTTCAGTCTACTGACAATTACGCGTTATCACCCCCTCACTCTCTGAAACAGATACACAAATGGCATCAAATAAAAATACATATTAGTTGTTTCTATTGACCCAGTTTTACTTATCAGACCGATATGTTAAAAAAATGACTTACATCAGTCAGTACTGATATTAATGCCAATAAATTGTGCTTCCCTAATAAAATTGCAGTAAACTGGGGTAAAAACTGGTCCAACCTAGCTGCGTAAATTGTAAATAGCAGTATATATATATGTATATATATATATATATATATATATATATATATATATATATATATAGAGAGAGAGAGAGAGAGAGAGCCTTTTGAACTTTTTTCAACTTTTTCCCATTTGCTGACTTCATAATTGTGTTGTTTTCTAGTAGCTAAGGACTCATACGTTTATTTGCTTAAGTTATTTTCATTCTTTCCTTTTCCACAGCTCCAGTAATTGTCTCCGGAGCTCTGAGCATGCTGTGAGCAGTAGGATCTGCTCTCTCCTAATTCTCTGTGTTTTTTGGCTCATTGTCTTCACTCATTTAAGATGTCTTCTGGAGATTTTCGTGTTTACATTTTTGCATAAATTAGATCGCCCATGCCCAAGTACATTTCTACGTGTGAAATCATCCCAGAGATGAGATTGAACATGAGCCGAAGAAAGGATTAGTGAAATAATTTTGTCTGCAGATATTATTGGTACAGTTTCCTGAGTTTGATGTGTTAGTTGGTACCTATCTGCTCCTCGGATCAGCCAGTAATCCATTGTGTAAAGATGTAAGCTAACATTAATACATCTTTCCTCATTATTCCCTCCCTTAGACATGGACCCACCTAAAGAGTTGACTGTGTCAGATGTGACTGAGGATGCGGTGACGATCTCCTGGATCAAACCATTGGCTCCGTTTGAGTACTACAAACTCTCCTACCAGTCGGCCAGAGGTACTGTTTACTGGTAACAGTTGAATGTTCTACCTCCTTTTTAATATCCTATGCTATAGCTAAATAATCACAACCTTTTATATGTCAGCTTTAATAGAATTTTGAGTTAACGTTTCACGCCAAACAGCAGCTTACCCCTTGACGTGTAACAGAGAGCTGTTGGTATATGAAACATAAGATGAGAGTGGTGTTTAACGTTTGAATGCATCTCCTGTAGGTCGAGTGGACAGCGAGATGATTGACAGCGATGTGACAAACTACACCTTGTCCAGTCTGTTTCCTGCCACCGAGTACGAGATCAGCATCAACTCTGTCAGAGAGAGTCAGGAGAGCACAGTTGTCAGCACGTCTGTCTTCACAGGTGGGAGCAGTATGAGGGTCTGTTTCAGGTTTACACAAATACAATAACACAGCTAGAACAGTGTGATGGTGTAATACATTTACTTCATTTCATCCATTGTAGTTTCATTTTATACTTTCAGCTTTTCAAAAATATGGTTTTATTCAACGATGAAGTGGTGAAATATCACATATACAGTGTAAAATACCCCCCGAATGAAGGACGACACTTTACTGATGAAGGTTTTGGGTTTAATGACGATGAGCCTCAATTTCAATGTAAGAGCTGGAGATGTATACAAGAAAAAAAAAACATGTAATAAAATCCAAACTCTTACAATTAATACAACTGTTATTAACAGTTTACAACATACACCTCAACTTACAATGTATGTAGCTTCAGAAGAGAAATCAATACATTTTAACCATTGAAATTAGAAATAGACCCTTCATAATAAAAGCATTTTATTCAAAAAGGAAGTAAAACAGATTAAAAATAAAGGTGAGTTGTGCCAAAATAATTTACATGCAAACGAAGAAGTCATTTTAAGGTTAGTTGCATACAGGACGATTATTTACAAACATTAACCCATACGTTCATTGAATACCTTTTTTATATTATTATAAATTAGGACTCTTCAAGTTGTAGGATAACGTATTTTCCTATTAACAGTGCTAACAACCCACCATTGTGCAGCTCCAAATATGGAGCCTTAGTCTCCTCCATTTTTATTTTATGTCAGAATTGAAATATTAAAACATATAAAATTAAAAATTATTTTACAAAAAATACATTTTACTATAGTTGCTGCATCATTGTTCTTCAAACCACACGTGCAGAAAACACATCGTAAATGATTCAAATGACTCCTCACAAATAGTTTACCCTCTTCCAACTGTCGCACTGGTTCTACTACTCACAGCTGAACACCTGTACTCAACGCTCTCATACACACTTGCAAAAACACATCACAAAAATGAAAATATACTGCTGACATAGCAGGAGGCTTGGTCTTTCCTGCTGCAACAGATGAAACTGTCCACACCATGATTCTGTAATTGGTTACCACCTCCCAGCACCCTCTCACTCTGTGCCATCACTCTCGCTGCTTTCCACGTTACTTACCTCTTTATCTATTTGACTCACTTCGATCTTTCACTATGCCTGTCTGTCTTTGTCTTCCACCTTCTCTTTTGGCTTTCTTCTCTCTGTTTTTCTCTCATGCTTGATTCTTTTTATCCTGGATCATACTCATCTGTGAGGCTGTATCATTTATATAAAGTAAATGTATTGCTTTTAATGTGACACACAAAAACACATGGAGGTTTGGAGATAACGTTTGTCTTTTAGTAAAAATAAGCTGGTCACCTGAGATTAACACTGGTGCCGTCTGCGTAATCTGTACATGTTTGATTAAGGAAAAAAGACAGACACAGAAGCAGGGCTCACCTTTGGCGCTCTGTTATTGGCTCCTTCTTCCAACAATCCCAGTGTACTTACAACAAGCAGAGCCGTTGGGGGCTGTAATAGCCTGAAAAGAACATAACTCCCAAGTCAAGCTTGTTAGAAATGGTAAATAACATTTTCCTCACGCAGCACAATGCACAACCAGGGACATTTTAATACAGCTTTCAACAACAATACATAAACAGGGGATTGGAAGAGTAATCCAGCATTGCCTGGCCAAGTATGTAATGACTTGAGTAACACCACAGCTGCTACATACTTCACTTCCATAATCAATTATTGTGAGAGGGGCTGAAAAAGCAGCAAGCCATTTTTCATTTTGCTAACACAGCAGGTACTGTTAATCTAAAATGAATCTGGCAGGGCTGACACTGAATGGACGTTGTGAGGCTCTTTTTAAGGGCTAATGACTCTGCTCATTAGGAGAGTGTCAGGACTCCTCACTCTTCCCCCAAACAGGAGTTTGCTGAAATAAGGCTTTTCTGCCAAGTCTTATAAAAATAAAAATAAAAAAAATAACATTTTTTAATTCCAGTGCATTTTCAGAAATATACCATTAACATTTCATGTTCATTCAAATATCTGATTATGTTTTTGCTCACCTGAGGTCAGATTGCAGAGACAACCCCAAGGTATTAGAGGTTCCTCTGACAAGTTCTGGGTCTGCCCTGAGGTTCTGTTTAAAAATGTTTTATTGACATTTAATATTAAAGAAATAACATATATGACAAAACCATTATATTTAAATGACAAATCAAAACAGTCAAATAACAGTAGAGAATAAACATAAGAAAGATTTCGAAGCATCTTAGTGTTAAAAACATATTTCTAGTAAAATCAGCAGCCTCTCTTCTCATCAATGCCACATCTGTAACAGACCATCACAACCTGCAATTATAATTAAACACACCGTAACATGCAACTAAAGATTCTAATAAAGAGGACTATAATTACAACAACAAAACAATTTGTATTTTTAACACTGTCTTGAACAAAGAGCTCATTAGGATCCAACATATTCAGAAGGTGTATAATATTTAAGTATTAATTAAACACTGTTAATCTAAGTAATTATGCACTCAGAGAATCTTTCAGGATCAGCTGTCTAATAGCAGCCAACCAAATCATTTATCGTCACAGGGAAATTACCCGTAATGATTGGCCATGTCACCCTTCTCAAACTAATGTATTTTACTTGCACACGCAATTTATTTACTGTACATAATCCTACATCAGCAGCTCTTCCTGCAGTGCCACAAACCTCAGCATAAACACACCCCTGCTGCAGCAGGTACAAATATTTATATTTGCAAAGCAAAAGTTTTAGTATGACACTGCAAAAAATGAAAGTTGTAGATTTAAATGTGTAGAACATGTTTACTCTGTGATAAATCACCTTTTGTTACCAAAGAACAAAGGTACGGGGATGTTAAGATCTTTGATCGAGGATGAGTTGTTTATATTTTTTAAAGTGTGCTTTAAATATTTATCTATCTATCTATCTATCTATCTATCATCTATCTATCTATCTATCTATCTATCTATCTATCTATCTATCTATCTATCTATCTATCTATCTATCTATCTATCTATCATCTATCTATCTATCTATCTATCTATCTATCTATCTATCTATCTATCTATCTATCTATCTATCTATCTATCTATCTATCTATCTATCTATCATCTATCTATCTATCTATCTATCTATCTATCTATCTATCTATCTATCTATCTATCTATCTATCATCTATCTATCTATCTATCTATCTATCTATCTATCTATCTATCTATCTATCTATCTATCTATCTATCTATCATCTATCTATCTATCTATCTATCTATCTATCTATCTATCTATCTATCTATCTATCTATCTATCATCTATCTATCTATCTATCTATCTATCATCTATCTATCTATCTATCATCTATCTATCTATCTATCATCTATCTATCTATCTATCTATCTATCTATCTATCTATCTATCTATCTATCTATCTATCTATCTATCTATCTATCTATCTATCTATCATCTATCTATCTATCTCTCTATCATCTATCTATCTATCTATCTATCTATCTATCTATCTATCTATCTATCTATCTATCATCTATCTATCATCTATCTATCTATCTATCTATCTATCTATCTATCATCTGTCTATCTATCATCTATCTATCTATCTATCTATCTATCTATCTATCTATCTATCTATCTATCTATCTATCTATCTATCTATCATCTATCTATCTATCTATCTATCTATCTATCTATCTATCTATCTATCTATCTATCTATCTATCTATCTATCTATCTATCTATATCTATCTATCTATCTATCTATCTATCTATCTATCTATCTATCTATCTATCTATCTATCTATCTATCTATCTATCTATCTATCTCTCTATCATCTATCTATCTATCTATCTATCTATCTATCTATCTATCTATCTATCTATCTATCTGACGAACGCACAGTGAGGAGATACGTTTTGCTTTTAGTTCTACTGAATGGACACTGGGGGGGGGGGGGGGGGGGGGGGGGGCTAAAAGCAAGCCAAAACTGCCTATTCAACGTTTTCATTGCAATGAACAATAGTAGAGAACAATAGTAGAGAGCAACAGCATGAAATCCCCCTCTAAGGGTATTGCTTGTGTAACACTGACCATCACAACTGAAAGCAAACTCAGCTCTTGGTAAACTGGCACAGTCGGATGTTCCACAGCTGCATTGCTCCCAACACAGAAACAATTTCAAGCCTTGTTAAAGTGTTTCATCAAAATCGAAGATTTCAAATCAAGCTAAATATCTCAGACATTTACTGAAGGAGGGCAACCTTGCTCTGAACTGATTAGATTTCTATAACATTAGTGGTGTTCACACACAAAAAAAAAGACCTTTCAAGTTGACTGAGGAGTGAGCACCACCTCACCCCTGCCACGTGGACCTCAAGGGATAAACCCTCAATGGTCAACTTTCCTCGCGGGGTCACACCCATTTGGACAGTGGGAGGGTTAATCTGTGTTCTTATGAAAATATAAACTAGGTTGATTTTTAGAGCACAAAAGAAGTGAATAGATGCATTTTCCAGCTAGCATATGGGCGAACCAGACGTGATGTTGATGTTGGTTTAAATAGGTGGATCTGTATCAAAAACCATCCCAAGTTAATAGATCAGGAAACTTGTATCTGCATTTAATTATTCATGTATTGTTGATTCTTTATTACCTCGTTTTCATAATCACAAGGAGCCAAAAACACATCTAGATGTCTGACTCAAAGGTGAGTGCAGGTACGGTGCAGTCAGCTCAGTCCTTAATTCACCGATCCAATCAGGAGATGGACGTGATTATTGGATTATCACAAACCCTGGTGAAGGAGGATGACCTGTTCATTTTATTGATCTTTACCAATTTCCACTCCATTTCCCATGCCTACCAATTTTCCTTAGCCAACCTCCATCAAATTTCCTTACATCATTCTCCAATTAAAGTGATGACTGTAATCTGATTTCTTCACCTAATGCTACAATGGGAAAGACACAGAGTCCCCTTTGTGTGCCAATGAGGGCAATTCTTTTTCACTTTGATAAGGCTATTATTAATCACCTGATCCTGGCAGAACTCTGGATCTCATACAGAGTTTTATGTTCTGCCACCATGATCTCCATGCCAAAATAACACACCAGAAGGGAAATTGGGGTTGAAGCAGGTTAAAGGTATAATTAGATTCAGACTCAATTTTGGCATGCCCAGCAGTCTGAGAGGAAAATTAGAAAGTGGGTGGGGTTGGCTATGGAGAGTGTCGGAGATGCTCTACTGTATATTTCACTTTAAGACTCTTTCTTTGCTGCAGACTTAGCAAATTAGACTAGTAGATGTATGCATGTTTTAGTTGTGTAATGGAGTTAAAAAAATGAAAAGAATCTGTCAAATGTTTAAAAAGGTGGATTAAAATGTTTATTATTATTATTATTATTATTATTATTATTATTATTATTATTATTATTATTATTATTGGTTCCAGCTATAAAACAATTGTGGGTTTCCAAATGTTTTTTATTGATGTGAATTTAATTTTTTTTTATTCAAAATTACATAAAAAACGTTTGAAACTTTGTTTAATTATCCAGTAAAGCCAGAAGTTTTTCTCTCGATGCATTGAGCTTCTTTTTGTTGTGTTCAAATGAAAGCAATGGATATGCCTGCTGAGCTGACGGCCCTCAACATCACCCCACAAGGAGCGTTGCTGAGGTGGAATCCACCGCTTTCCATTGTGGACAACTACGTGTTGACCATCACACATAACCAGTGTAAGTTGTCATCATTCACCCTCTAATTCTTACACGGTAAATCAACAAACTTGCTATCATTATGGGATATCAACTCTGCTGCTTAAGTCACTTCAGATAAATTATTAACATATTTTTTGTCTAAGATGTCAGAGAGGGTTTGGACATGTTCATAGAAGAGACTATAATCACACAGGTCAGGGCTTTTCAATTCCAGGCGTTGAGGGACGGTATCCAGCACATTTTAGTTTTAACCCTGCTTCAACACACCTGATTTTATTTAACTAGGTGATTAACAGGCTCCTGCAGAGCCTGATGAGCTGCTGCACAGGTGATTCAACCACTGAATCAAGTGTGTTGGACCAGAGCAGCCAATGAAACGGGATGGACACTGGATCCTCGAAGCCCGGAATTGAATAGCTCTGACATAGGTAGAAGCATGCTTAGGTTCGAGCCACAAAGCAGGATGCTGAGAGGAAGACAAAAGAAAGAGAGTAATGGTTGTGGTGAAAGATAACATGAAATTAGTTGGTGTGAAGTTGTAAGATGCAGAAGATGGGACTAAATGGAGAAAGATGATTTGCTGCAACATCTTAAGCCTGATTTATGCTTCTCCGTCTGCGTCAGTGCGGAGACACACAATGCCATTATCCGTCCTTGCGTAGGGCTCCGGCAGGCACGCAAGTACGTATGGAGTCGAGCCCACTTTTTTAAACATCTGTCGAACGAGACGGATTACGCAAACTTGTGATTGGTCAGGACGCCGCTGTTGTTTACAGCGCCGCCATTGCAAAGAGAGCCGAGGATAACTAGCGGCAGACACGGAGAAGCTTGAAGAATACCTCGCGAAAAAACTCTAAAAATATGAACGTTTAATTCTCCCGTGACTGGAGGAGTGAAAAGATGCACAGCAAGCGTTTTATTTGTGGACGGAAATGACAGGAAACGTGGGTTTAGAGGTGGGGAGCGCATGAAGCGGTGGGAGAATGAGAGACAAATATGTCCGTGTTAAAAATCTCTTATATACACAAAAAACACAATATAAACACACTATCTTGGACCGATACATGACAGGATACCACAGAACAGCGCTAAGCCCTCTGTTGTCCTACCGGGCAATTGCTTTGCAATGCTCTCCAGGAGACGGAGAAGTATGAGAGCAAAATGCTTCCGTCAATCTGTGCGTGTCTGTCCCTTGCAGAGCTGACGGAGAAGCATAAACCAGGCTTTAGACCTTTGCCTAAGATGTTGTAAGCACTAAGATATCAATATATTCCTATATATAAAGGTGTATATGTATTAAGGTGTCCTAGAATTCAAAGCAATATTTCTCATGTTGTTGTTTAACTTATGCAGCTTGGGGTGTCAAATGTAGCATACCAAAAAGCATATGATATCCGACCTGGTTTCCTTTGCAAAGTAGTAATGAAGAAATTAATTTTTCTAAGAAGCATTGGCTTTACATGTCATACGCAACACATACAGCCTTGCATTTGCAAGTCTCAACCCACTTTAGCATTGATAATATGTTAAAAGCATTGGCCATGGCACTGGTAACCTCTGTTAGCTAGTTAACAATGCTAACTCGAGCTACTGACAATGCTAGCCCAAAGTACTGCAAGCTCTAGCCCAAGCTACTGCTAGTGGACTGGAGACGGCGTCGACCACGGGACTGGAGACGGCGTTGACCCCTGGACTGGAGGGGACGTCGACCTCTGGACTGGAGGGGACGTTGACCTCTGGACTGGAGGGGACGTCGACCTCTGGACTGGAGGGAACGTCGACCTCTGGACTGGAGGGAACGCCGACCTCTAGACACAAGGGAGCGTCGACCTCTGGACACGAGGGAGCGTCGACCTCTGGACACGAGGGAGCGTCGACCTCTGGACACGAGGGATTGTGGACCTCTGGACACGAAGGAGCGTCGACCTTTGGACACGAAGGAGCGTCGACCTCTGGACACGAAGGAGCGTCGACCTCTTGACATGAAGGAATGTCGACCTCTGAATACGATGGAGCATCGACCTCTGGATACGAAGGAGTGTCGACCTCTGGACTGGAAAGAGCGTCGACCTCTGGACTGGAAAGAGCGTCGACCTCTGGACTGAAAAGAGCGTCGACCTCTGGACTGGAAAGAGCATCGACCTCTGGACTGGAGAGAGCGTCGACCTCTGGACTGGAGAGAGCGTCGACGTCAGGACTGGAAAGGGCGTCGACCACAGGACTGGAAGGGGCGTCAACTTCAGGACTGGGGACGTCGACCTCTATCGACTTCTGGTCCGGAGGCGTCGACTTTTGTTCCGGGGGCGTCGACTTCTGGACCGTCAACTTCTGGTCCGGGGGCGTCGGCTTCTGGACCGTCGGCTTCTGGACCGTCGACTTCTGGACCGTCGACTTCTGGACCGTCAACTTCTGGACCGTCGACTTCTGGTCCGGGGGCGTCGGCTTCTGGACCGTCGGCTTCTGGACCGTCGACTTCTGGACCGTCGGCTTCTGGACTGTCGACTTTTGGACCGTCGATTTCTGGTCCGGGGGCGTCGACTTCTGGTCCGGGGGTGTTGACTTCTGGTCCGGGGGCGTCGACTTCTGGTCTGGGGGCGTTGGCTTCTGGACCGTCGATTTCTGGACCATTGACTTCTGGTCCGGGGGCGTCGGCTTCTGGACCGCCGGCTTCTGGAGTGGAGGAGGAGTTGCTACAGACGGGACTGCTTGGACAGGCTGGACCGGATGCGGTGCAACCTCTGGACCACCGCTGGAACTGGATGTGGTGCACCCACCGGGACCACCGCTGGAACAGGAGCTGACTGAACTGGTGGTGCTGGACACTGGGAGAGCAGGGAGGATAGATTGTCCAGCTGGAGCTCCTGGAGACTGAGGCTCTGATGGAGTTGGGCCAGCTCAGCTCGGAGACCGGCGAGCTCTGCTGGGTGGACTGCAGGTTCGATCCTTTGGCCAAGAGATGAGGGAGCTGCAGACTGGACCGGAAACTTCTCCTGGTAATTTGGGGAGGATAGGGTGTCCAGCTGGAACTCCTGGAGGCTGACGAGCTGACGGACCCGGCCAAGCTCCGCCTGGAGGCCGGCGAGCTCTGTCAGCTGGGCTGTAGGCGTGGTCCCTCCGCCTCCACATGACGGAGGCGCTGATTGGACCGGAGACGGAACTGCTGGTCTGACTGGGGGCGGGTCCAAGCTGGCGCACCGAGCCGGAGCTGCAGCAAACTCGCGGCTCTGTCCTGGGACTAGGGGTGACGGTGGAGCCCGGCATCCTTCCCAACGCCGTGGGCCAGCTCCGGGGGAGCACACAGCCAGTCTGGTGCCCACGTAACAGGAGCGGTCTAGCTGTGTCTCCTGGTCCAACCTCACATCTAGCTCCGGGAGGGCGGAGGGGATCGTCGCAACCGGGGTTCGGTGATGGCGTCTGCGGCGAGACGAGGCCAGAGGAGGAGAAGCCAGCCAGTGATCTGCGTTTAAAAACTGGAGCAAACACTCCCAAGGAAGAACCTCCCCGCAGGATCCTTTACAGGGTTGGCTCAGTCTGTCACAACGTGCCGGTGAGTGAGGCAGATACAAGGATCCACATGCGGGTGAGGGAAGCAGGCAGGCAGACAAACCAGAATGAGTTTAGAGTCTTTAATCATGAACACACGCTGGACAATGAAATAATGAGCCAACCAGACAAAATGGACTAACAGGGTTGAAATACAGGAGGAGCTGGGACCTTGGGTGATTGGGAGACGAGAGGCAGGCGGGAGCAATTAACATGGACACAGGACTAAACAGAATGGGGAGACAGGACAGAGTGTGACACACGGAAAACCGAACCGGTCTCTACAAAAGTTTTAAACCAGCAGTATCATTCTACTTTTCTCCCAGTTAGACTAACAATGTTGTATATATTTTTATTAAGATGACAATTTAATCAGGCTGTCTTATAGTCATAAGTGTTTTATTTTATTTTGGTTTTACTTTGACTGCTTTTTCACTAGTTTTCCGTCCAGGGCTTTATCCTGACTGTGACAAAAGATGTTTTTTAAAAGGAAGACAAACTAACAAGTTTCAGGTCTAAAAATATGTTCATCAGTCTGTGTTCTTTATTTTTATTTATTCATACAGAAATCAAATTGGAACACTTGCTTTTATTAATAGTTAGTTACAAATAAAACATTAAATTTAAGTAACTTTGTTTTCTGTGTTGCCACAAATCATTTTTTGAATATTACTAACAAATTAGAGCGATACTAGATAACTTTTTCATATTTTAAAATTATTTTTTTGAGCCAGTATGTGCTAAAATAACCCTTTACGGGGTTAATTAAAAGTCACTCAGAGCCCCACCGCCCATTACTGCACGTGCAACTTCAGAGTGGTGGGCTGTGGAAAATTGAGCTGACATGCCTGGCACCACTGTCTGATTCCAGCACTTTCCTGCATGTTTTAGATCATGAACATAGCTGATCTGTTTTATGAACTGATCCTGTAGACACTAATGAAGGCTGAGGAGACATTTCACCAATTGTATTAAGGTGATTAAGGTTAGATTAATGACGAATGCACTGAGAGGAGATAATCATTCATTTTCGGTTTAACCACAGTAAATTAGTAATGGACACTAGGGGGTGCTAAAATCAAGGAACACTGCCTAAAGCCTCATAGATCACTGTAAAATGATTTAAAACCAGTAAATTGAAGAGTAAATGATGAGAAAGCAGCCGCATTCTGAAGGAAAAACTCTGTGAGACCAGAACAATTAACTAAGACATTTAAGAAATTACCGTATTTTCACAATCATAAGGCGCACCTAAAAGTCTTAAATTTTCTCCAAAATGTATGCCGCTCCCTATGGTGCGGTGCACCTATTGTGTTGTTGTGAGACGCAAATGAACTCGGAGCTCGCTGTCATTCCGGGAGGCTTGACAAAGGAACTCCAACCGCTGGAAATTGGCATGAACAGGGCGTTCAAAGTAAGGCTGCGAACGGCGTGGGAGCGATGGATGGATGGATGGAACGAGACAGACTCTGACTGTGACGAGAGAGAACCTGGCGTGTTTGACTGTACTCTAGCCCAGTTGTTCTTATCAGATACAGAAGATGAAGACTTTGATGGATTTGATGATTAATTAATAGCACTCAAATAAAGCACAACCAAACTCATATGTGCTCCTGCTGCCTTTTTTAATAAAACACAATTGAAATCACACTATTTTCTTATGCCTATTAATAACACACATATGATTTTGTTCATGTAGAAAGTTTATGTGGTTAAATCCACCAACTACCGGTAAGCACATTCTGAACTTCAACACAGCGCATCAGTGCATAAGAAGAGCACGAGCCATCAGCGCACGCAATGAGGAAGTGCGCATGCGCTCTAAACCAGGTCTGAACCAGGACTAGACCAGTAAAGTGAAACATGCTTTTGGCTGTTTATAATTTTCACAATGTCTGGTTTGCACTGATATGTTCCGAGTCCCGAGCCCGCACAGATGTTTTACCGCTACGTTTTACCGTGCCCGCGCTCTATAACCCGGTGCGCGCTGTGCCCTATAACACGGTGCACCCTATGGCCGTGAAAATACGTTACAAGAACATCTGGAGTTTTGGATAGAAAATATAGAGGAATGAGGGGAAACTTTTGCACAGAATTGCATTCATACATTGTTTACAACAGACAGGACCAACATGCTTCATTTCTATTCATGTACAATTTCATCATCAATAGACACTAAAGAAATTGGCATTGTTCTTTTTTAAAATAACTTTGATATCCTCCTGTTTTATATAACTATGATGCTTTATAAAAGGAATTAATTAAGTTAGATTCTTTCTGTGAGCCACAGGAAGCCACAATACTCAAAACTATCAATCAATCAATCAATCAGTCAGATTTTATTTATAAAGCGCTTTTCAAAGAAAGTGCTACTCAAAGTGCTTTACAAAATGACCCCAAATTCCCATAACAGTTAAAAACATTAACAGACATATGCAAACACACACATAAACAGACACAGACACAGACACACACACACACACACACACACACACACACACACACACACACACATCAGTAAAAAATTATATTCGGCTGAGTCCAGATGTGCCAAGTAAGGTAAGGCAAGGAAATGCCATCAGAGGAGCCGTCTGACCCGGCAGCATCAGGTCTTCCACACTGAGTCAGGGCGCTCAGAGGAGGGGGAGCATAGACCCCCACCTCCACTTAACTTAAACAGTATCGATAGAGTGCCCAGGAAGCAACATTACATTAATTGTCTTCTGTTTTTTCTGTTGCCGTCTTACAACCATGCACCAAAATCTAATTTTTTCTGTTATTTTTCAGACTAACTAAATAAATAAAACTAGTGATTACATTTCCAATCATCTTCATTTAATCAAGATTGCTGTAGTTGCCATGGCGACACACTGGCCTAATGCAAGGGAAGAGCAGATCAGAAGTGCTTTTTGACCATGCACATTAAGTAATTACAGAGTGCATGGTAACATTTCAGGCCAAAAATATGTATTTTTCTTCAAAGATTTCTTTGTTCAGAAGTAAAATTCATGTAAAAATCCAGTAAATGAGCGGGATACTCCAGAGTTGGATTTGAATCTTATACAATGCATTTAATAAAAAATAACTGACTGATGTATATGCATGTACAATTGAGGATGTTTTGATTTGGTTTTCCAGTAACAGCTGATACCTTTCTGGTGGAAGGCAACAAGCAGGAACACCAGCTGTCCAACCTCAAACCGAGTACATCCTACTCCGTAGCCCTGTACGCTACCAAAGGACCCCTCACAAGTGGCACCGTCATCACAAACCTTCAAACACGTATGTATTTCTTTTATTCACCCCGTCTCAGCGCAGTGGGGGACCCATAGCCTCGGTTGTTAGTGCTGTAGAGTCCCAGCAGGACACTCATCCGATCCTGTAGTAATCCTTACCGTGTCGAATTCAGATGTTCACGCGGTATTTGCAGCATTTTTTTTTCTTTTTGCAGATGTGTAATTGAATTTACAACAAAAACATCTTGTGGAAATGAGGACTTGTACTGTTCTTATTTATAACCAACAGCTAAATGTGGACATTGCATCAAACATGCAGGGATGTGATTAATCAGAATGATGCCTTTTACAATATTTACATAGGAACCAGCTGTCTCCTTTGCAAGTGTACAAAAACAAATTATGGATAGATGACCGGTGAACCAAAGATGCATTTTTGTTCTCTCAACATTTATAAAAACTGGAGTCTGGTCTGAAATGACCCTGCCAGTAACAGATAGCAGGTGTGCTACAGATAAGTCGTTTTTTTTTTTTTTATTGTTGGGAAATATTACGAAGTCTCATTCCTGAAGTGATTAGTTTGGTTTTTTCACTGCTTTGCAACTAAATAAAGAGCACATTTTTCACTTGTGTTGAGATCAAGTAAGTATGCTGTAACAGATTGCACTTTCAAGATAACGCACGTCTGTTTTATTCATATAGTTTGTTGCAACATTTGGTACAAAAGGACATGAATCAAAGTACTTTTGTCTATAATTGCTGATTAATGAAGTTGTACTATAACAACTATACCAACATAAATGCTCTGTAAACATTTAAGACTTTCTAACATTCTTATTTTCTATTTGAACCAATGAATGGTTACAGCTCTGCTTTAGTGCAAATTGCTAGCAAGGTAAGTGAATTTAAATAAAAAAATTTTTACTTCTATCTAAAGCAGCATCTTTATTGAGAGAAAAGAAATCGAAGAAGTGATTGTTCTACTTTAAAATAGCTGCAGCCTTGTAAACTTAGCTTTTTTCTTGAGTTCTTGCAAAAAAAAAGTCAGCAGACGAGTTTAAATCCCCCAAGGTGCACCAGGGCTACATGTCCTGCTCTGCAGCATTGATGCATTACTCAGGACAGAAAGACGCTCTGACAAACCATGTGAGCTTGGATGTGATACTTTAAAATCATAAATGAGGTTTAGAAGGATAATATTTACCTCCAAGCGTGTAAATGATGATCATTAAATAACTCAAATAGTACTCTAGGTTCCTCTAAGGTTTAAACAGATGGTGTGATAGATGTGCAAGGTTTCCCAGGTGCTTAAATTAAATAGTAAAAGTGGTAATTGGCCTGTATTTTATATAGCACATTCTAGAGTCCTAGAACCCCCAAGGGGCTTTACAACAAACACATGCGCGCGTGCGCACACACACACACACACTCCCTGGTGGTGATGAACTACAACGTAGCCACAGCTATCCTGCAACGCACTGGTGCCACCGGTCCCTCCGCCCACCAGCAATAGGAAATGTGGGTCGAATACCTTGCCCAACGACACACCAGCAGCATTCTCTGCCGGGAGCTGTGATCGATCCAGCAACCCTCCAATTACTGGACAACCTGCCCTACCTTCCGAGCTACTGCTGCCCCAATTAACAAGAAAACACAGTTTAAGCTAGTTAATGTTACATCATAGAATGACAATAAGGTTGTAGACCTCTTTTTAGGGTTAGGTCAAATTAAATTTAATACATATATTATTTAGTGGAATATTTTTCATTATATTGAATTCATTATTTTTATTTCTTAAATAAGAATTCTAAAGAAAATACGTAAGGTAGTTGACCAGAGAAGAATAAAGCAGAAATTGCCACTTGTTGCTTTTTCTCATTCATAGCTTTATCAACAATCTTTCCATTAAGCATTTAACAACAACATTGTGAAAGGCCATTATTAAAATTAGTTCATTAAGATCGATAATGCATTTTTTATTCACTGTGATGTTTTGGCTACTCTGCGCTAATCCGACCTGCTGATTGATTGCATTTGTCACTGGATGTGTCTGTTTGCTTTTGTTAATCGTTCAAAACTTTCAACAATATATATATATTTTTTAACCATTAGGCCACACATTTAATTATTGCACGGCATTTCTGCATTTATATTTTGAGGTTATAATAAATAAAAGATTAACATGGCGGGGGTCTTTTTTTCACGTCTTTTTTTGATCAATGTGACCCATAACAACATCTGAGCAAATACCAGTGATTTATGTCTAAGTTAAAAGGTCAGCGGAAGTTGTATCTGTAAAGGTTTAGCTCTCCCTCTCAGGAGTAGATGGCATTTTGACAAAACAGCATAGAGTAGAAAGAAAAGAAGAAGGAAAAAGGGATGCGTCTCATCCTTTCTGTTTTATTATTTATTTATTTTTTGGGTTGTGTTGAGGTTCTTTGCTGATCCCCAACCTTCTTCATGACAGCTGGGAGTGGGTTTGTTGTCTAACCTCCATAACTCGAGAGCTGAACAGAGAGAGAGAGAGAATAAGACAGCATGCACTCCCAAAGGTTGATATTTAAACTCTACGGGTGGAAAGTAACAGAATTTGCTGCAGGTCTTTCCATAAGCCTGTAGAATGGAGTAACAGCAGGTTTTCCCTCTGACTTTCTTGATAGGTTCTTGGTGAGGTGATGAAGCGGTAGAAATCCTTCCTTTGGGCAAATCAACACAGCATTCCCACAAATCTGTTCACCAGATACACGGTTTTGTTGTTATAGATCAATATTCTTTGTCTTGTCTGTCGATTTAGTACAGTATGGAGAACTACGAGCTTCGATTTGTGCTGATAATGCTTTTTCACTATGTCAAAGAACACTTTCAGACTTCTTTTGCCTAATTGACAATGTGTTATGCTTCAAACTCATCATTATATTGATTTAAAGAAGTTTATACTCATTGGTATGCATATGAGTAATCAGCAGTAGCCTATTCCTGTAATCTCCTGCTGTTTGACTGCTTTACAATGAGTGGTGAGGTCTGTGTAAGTGTCTTTGTTTCAAGGCAAAAGTCTAGTTAAACACAATGTCTGGATCAGGAGGATTCAGTTCAGCTGTGCTCCTCAGGCTGGCAGTCCTGATTCTTGTGAGATTTGGTTTGGTGCAGTGGTGAACAGTTTTACAACACATCTGCTGTAAAATGTAATCAGAGCGTAGTATTTTCCTTTTTTCTTGGTTTGCAGTTTTTTTCCACAGACTGTTGGGATATGTTTGAAATAAATTCATCCATCAATTTTCGGCCGCTTATCCGGGGTCGAGTTGCGGGGGCAGCAGCCTACGTAGGGAGGCCCAGACTTCCCTTTCCCCAGCCACTTGGGCCAGATACTTCGGGGGAATCCTAAGGCGTTCCGTGGCCAGAAATGAGACATAGTCCCTCCAGTGTATCTTGGGTCTTCCCTTAGGTCTCCTCCCAGTTGGACGTGCCTAGAAAACCTTACCAGGGAGGCGTCCAGGAGGCGTCCTAACTTGATGCCCGAGCCACCTCATTTGACTCCTCTCGATGTGGAGGAGCAGCGGGTCTACTCCAAGCCCCTCCCTGATTACCGAGCTTCTCATCCTATCTCTAAGGGAGAGCCCAGCCACTCTGCGGAGAATACTCCTTTCAGCAATTTAGTATCCACAAACTCATTTTTTCAGTCACCACCCAAAGCTCGTGACCATAGCTGAGTGTTGAAACGTAGATCAACCGGTATCAATCAATCAATCAATTTTATATGTAGAGCACCTTCCACAACGTTATCAGAAGCCCAAGGTGCTGAACAGCATCATCATAAAAACATTCCCAGTATCTGGGCATAAAAGCAAGATAAAAACATAAAATTATAAAATAAGCAAGCAATATTACAAATACAGAGAGGTAACGGAATGAGACTAATCAATTAAAAACAAATGTTGGACAAAATAACATCAAGCTTTCTCTTCACCACGATGGATCAGTGCAATGCCCGCATCGCTGCAGGCGCGGCACCAATCCACCCATTGATTTTGCATTCCGTCTTTCCCTTACTTGTGAACAAGACCCAGAGATACTCAAACTCCTTCACTTGAGGCAGGAGCTCATCCCTGATCCGGAGTAGGCATTCTACCCTTTTTCAAACTCAAAACAAATGCAACAATTTAAATAAAGTTTCAAACAAGTTACTCACAACTGTGCCACATGCAGGATGCTTCTCTCAGTATCGGTTCTATCTTATAACGTTTAGTCTGATTTTTTTCCCCCTGGGGCCTTTCATTCTGACGTTGTTTATTCAAAAGTTTGATGGGTTTTTGAACTAAACCTGATGCTTGTTTCTCTTTGATCTAATGTCTGAAAGCATTTGGTCTGATGAAAGTAAGTACAATCTATAAATACATCACAAGGTGTTGTACAACAAAGATAAAGTTAGGACAAAACATGTAAACAAATAAAATGTATCAGAATAAATCAACACTAAATAAAGCCAGTGAAGAGAGTACATAATCTGAGCTATTTGAGTATGCCTGTTAGATTTTGTTAGGAGTCTGGCTGCTGTGTTTTTAATGGCTTGAAGGCCTGAGAGGGAAAATTAAACTAATAAAAAGAGTATTTTGATTGTCTAAATTCAATGAGACAATGGCATGGATTATTTTTTTCTTTTTTTCATATCTGCAGTTGAAACTATTTTACGTGAATTGAAGCTTAAATATCAAGTTTACTTAGAAACCATTTTTACTTGTAATTTTTTAAATATCATCAGTCAGTCTGAGATTAACATGCAGGCTAAACAAGACAACAGAATTCTACTCTAGATTCTACATTAGCCGCCGATAGAAAATCAACAGGGAATTGCACTTCAGCTTATTGACTCATCCAACTTGTCTCGCTTGGCTTGTGGAGGCTGTGTTAATTCAACATCCAGGAGAAAGCAGAGCTTGTCTCGGCTGGTAGAAGCTAATCATTAGCGTTAGTAACCCCACAACATGGCAAAACTATTTCAGGCTTCTGTTATTTGCAGAGATAAAACATCAATTTGACAGAGCAAACAGT